TAATAATAATAATAATAATAATAATAATAATAGCAACAACAACATTTTATTTCTTACCTCTCCCCAAAGCTCAAGGTGGGGCACAACATAGATTGAAACACATAAAACCATCTAACACTTAAGTTAAACCGCAAACATAGGACCCATTACAATCATCCAACATAAAATTAGAAACAGACCAATTTAAAATTCATAGTTTAAAATCAACTGAGTAGGCCAGACAGAAGAAATGCATCTTTAATGCTGTTTTAAATCTGGACAGTGTATTCAGCTGTCAAATCTCTGCTGGCAGGTCATTCCACAGTCTAGTGAGCTTATCGCACAGAACGCTTGCAGACCGTTCGATATGATGTGTGTGCAACAATCCTATCGGTCTCAATCTGTCCTCATGTTCTGACTGGCTAAGACAACCTCCTCCCTTCCCATCCTAGAACATCCACAAACTAAACTCAACTTAACTCTTCCGGTGTTGACGCAAGGAAGGTACCACAGGTAATTTAAAAAAATATATTATTATTTTTGTAGATTGAATTGTGTCGTGTTTACAAGAAAAAACAATGCTCGCTACCTAAACCTCTCGGTAGCATTCTTTCCCATGCAGACACAGGAGTTTTTGCAACAGTGAGCATGCGCCAATGAGAGACAGCTGAGGAACGCTTTAGCGCACGTACCGGTACAACAGTAAATGCAGTGCGACAATATGTGTTCTCATAACGTTACTATCCCGTTATCCATAGTCTAATACGGTAACACCCGTTCCCATATCGTTACGTTCCAGGAACTCGATGGGAATGTTACAGGTATTGGTGCGATAAGCTTATCAAAGTGGCTGATTAAAAAGTCCCCTGAGTGACACTTGTCAGTCTAGTCCTGTCTGATGGAAATAAATGTTCCCAAGAGAACCTGAGCGTACGAGGCCGATCATATCGGAGGAGACGATCCTGTAAGCCATGTAGAGCTTTAGAGGTAATAACTGTGTTCCACATATCTGAAGTGAATCCAGACATTCTGCATCAAAGAAAAATGTCCCGCCTGTACTCTATAGGGGAAACTATTGCATGTACAAGATTCCAACCGGATTCCACTTTTATTATTTTAGTACGAAATATTGGTGTACAGATACTGTGCCACTTCCTTCATGTGGACGCCAAGGGTGCTGGCAACATCTCACAGATTGCATTCAAATTATCTATACTCAGGACTGCACTTCAAGGCAACTGGAATCTAGAACCAATTTTGCTCATTGATCACTCAAGTTTCCCATTGGTAATTTTTTTTTTATTGAAAGCATTTACTTATCACCTCTTGCCCCACCAAGGCCCCCAGGGCAATGCATAATTGATTAAAAAAACACTTTAAAAACATTAAATAATTAAAAACCAGATTTAAAACGGTTTTAAAAAAACGCCAGACAGTTTAAAAACTTATCAAAGCAGACACCTCTATTTTTAAAAGCAGCAGGCTGCAGAAAACTGCATGTCTTTGCTGCAAATCAGAAATTCAGAAGGAAGGGACCCAGCCTGACCCCTCTCAGAAGGGAGAAATGTAGTAAAGTACTGCACTTAGGTAGGAGAAAAAATGAAATGCACAGATATAGGATGGATAACAACTGGCTTGACAACAGTGCATGCGACAGGGATCTAGGACTTTATCATGCAACCCCAGTTCTCATTGCAATCACATTAATAAAGGGAGTGCATATATACCAGTTTGGGAGTGATCCCTACCCACATTCCTCCATTTGTGCAACCATGCTGTTGCGGTTCCTCATGCTCTCTTCCACCTTCGTCCTCAACCACCACCTCCCAACCATATGCCCTAACCAGTGTGACTTGCATTTGTTCTTTGTATCATGGTGTGTTTTGTTATTGTGTTATTTTTTAAAATATATATATATATAATTTTTCAAATGGGTTTACACATAGTTTATAATACAAACACAAGCACAAACACCAAAGACAAAGGGCAAAGAGACAAAAAATGATAACATACAAATACAAAACTGAAAAACAGATAAGCTCATAGTGCCAAAAACTCATAAGCACTTCCCAAATGCTGAGAAGTCAGCTAGAATTATCATTCATTAATGCACCTTTCTCAAAACAGAGCAAAAAAGAGAATATTTTACAAAATTAGTTATAGTTAATAAATGAGTGAATTAATCAATTAATTTTTTCCCCTTGTTCAATCTTTGTCCATCCATATTTAGAAATTAATATGTCCTTTATTCTACGAATCCTTCTATTATGACTCTGTCAAATCTCTTATACAAATAGTCCTGAAATAACTTCCAATCCTTAATAAAATGACTGTTGGCTTTTGCTTCTATTATGTACACCAGCTTATTCATTTTTTGGTTTGGGGGGTTTGGGGTTTTTTAATGTCATCCAAGAATTAAGTTATTGTGATTAATAATAATAATAATAATAATTTTTTAAAGTTTTTTAAAAATCACAAGACTGCCACAGGAGTAATTTGCCACATCTGTGAATTAGCCCTATACCAACATGATTGGGAGCTTGTTGATGGGAGCTTTTTACCATCAATGTCAAAATATAGGCTAACCATGATTTGAGGACAAGGCAGCAAAAAAAAAAAAAAAAGGGAGACGGAGTCATGTGATAGGTATCACCAAAGATGCTATTATAAAACTTTTATGGCAGTTTAAAAACTTGTGGCCTTAGTAGACCACAAGCTGAACATGACCCAACAGTGTGATGTAGTTGCTTAAAAATCCAATGTGATCCCAGGCTGCATCAATAGAAGAATAGTGTCTAGATCCAGGGACATAATTGTATCACTCTATTCTGCTTTGGTCAGGCCTCACCTGGAATCCTGTGTCCAGTTTTGGGCAACACAATTCAAATGTTGGTTATCACCTTTAAAGCCCTAAATGGCTTGGGTCCAAGCTATCTCAGAGACCGCCTCTTCCCATATAATCCTCCCCGCGCTCTCCGGTCCTCTGGGAGGAATCTGCTGCAGCCTTAAAAATCTAGGCTTGAGGCGACCTCCCAGAGGACTTTTTCTGTTGTTGCTCCCAGACTCTGGAACGGCCTGCCGGATGAGATCCGTCAACTAACATCTTTGGACAGCTTCAAAAGGGCTATCAAGACAGATCTCTTCCGGCAGGCCTTTCCGGATTAAACTACTCGGCCTCGAGACCTCGAGACTTGAGATCTAGAGATCTCCTTAATAAATACTTCTTAATTCCCTTGGCAGGGGCTGCTAGTTTGTATGCACAATTTTTATAAATTTATACTGTCATAGTTAAATGTAATCTGCTTTTAATCGATTTGATTTAATAGTTTTTTAAGGGGGAAGGAGGGAATTATGTTGTTTTAGACTGTATCTATTGTATTTTATTATGTTCACCGCCCAGATAGGGCGGTATACAAATAAAATTATTATTATTATTATTATTATTATTATTATTATTATTATTATTATTATTATTAAAACGGATGTTAAGAAGTTGGAGCATGTCCAGAGGAGGGTGAGCAAAATGGTGAAGGGTCTAGAAACTATGCCCTATGAGGAATGACTTAGGGAACTGGGTATGTTTAGCCTGGAGAAGAGACGGTTAAGAAGCGACATGATAGCCATGTTTAAATAGTTGAAGAGATGTCATGTTGCAAATGGAGTAAGCATGTTTTCTGCTGCTCCAGAGATTAGGACCCAGAGCAATAGATGCTAGCTACAGGAAAAGAGATTCCAGTTCAACATTAGAAAGAACTTCCTGATGGTAAGAACTATTCAACAGTGGAATCTCCTTCTTTGGAGGTTTTTAAACAAAGGCTGGATGGCCATCTATCAGGAGGGCTTTGATTTTGTCTCCCTGCATGGCAGAAAGAAGTTGACTGGATGGCCCTTGTGTCTCTTTGAACTCTAGGATTTTATGATAAGTTGAGGTTGCACCAGCAAAGAATGTGCAATGTCTAGTGCAATGGTTACATTTGCAGATCTCTACTTATGCAAATGTGAACTGAATATGTTTGTTGCACATTGGCCCAAAAAAGTAGAGCCTCACGCATAAGAGAATTTATGTGGAAGGGGGTTAGACTGGATGACCCTTGGGGTCTCTTTCAACATTATGATTATGATTCTATGTTTCTATGTATACTGATCTGGGATCTCAGCCATGGTTCCTAGCTCACCTCTGACATATGTCTACATCATTGTGTTGACCATTGCCTCCTATCCTTAGCAATCTCTCTCCCTCTTTCTCTTTCGCTTCCTTCTCCCTCATCAA